TCTAACACTGGAGCAGAACGTTGAGATCGCTCGATATTAATTTTTCTTTCTGATTGGATCCAGAAGGCCACATAAAATTCAATATTGCCCATAATATGTCATTCAACTACAATTGTTTTAGACTTAACCGACAGATTAGTCATCACTTTCTACAGTTAATCATTTAAACCAACAACAGCGGAGAGCAGAGTGTGAACCAGAGGCTCCACCGCAGGTCACACTCCATGGAAAAGGCTGGGAGCCATTCACACACACACACTCACACAAAACAAACACACAATCAAGCCGTGGAACCACTGACATGAGGTCAAGACCTCCCCGACAGCTAAGTTGATTAAACACGTCTCTACAACCCACACACTGGCCAATAAAACATGCTGGGCTACGGATGATAGACTGTGTGGAACACATTTGGAGCATCACCGCCTCCAGCCGTCCCAGAGAGCGCTCAGCCCAGCGAATGAGACTGCGCTACAACACTCTGCTGCAACGGCTCCACTTCCACCTACTCGCCAAACCTGGAGGGAGCAATCAACCTGCCTTCTTATTAGTAGGATAATGCCTTTTTGTACATGTGTATTTGTATGAATGAATATTTCCTCCAAGGACCCTCCAAGTGGAGGCAAAGGTTGCTCCAGAACCGTGGCGCTGCGTAATCCGGCCCTGAATGAAGGTGGGGGGCAAGACAAACATTCCTGGACAATGAGACCCTCCTGTACCCCCTGCTGCACTCATACCCACTTAAAATCTGCTTACCCACAATGCAACACTTTAGCTCTAGCAAAAAAGCCCCCCTGGAACCGGTGCAGTGGCACTGCAGACTAACACAGCCCCACTCCTTAGAGCCACAAGTGTCAGCTAAGGCTCAGATACAGTCCCTCTGGGCCCTTACTGGGCACATTATATCCAATTCAACTGGCCTTAATATACTTTAATAAGGCCTGTTTCCGATTAATTCTCCCTTGAAACCGGTTGTAACACGGCCACTAGGCCCATATAAAATTTGAATGAATGGAGTTGGGCTGCCAGAGAGTCAGGAGGGGGAAACTAGGAATCCTAGTGGATTTGTCCTCACCAGCTGGCTCTTGAGCCCAATATAATGGCTGTGCCCATAGCTCTCAGAGCACCAGTGAGAGGAAATATTTGCACAGCCTGTAATGCCTTTAAGGTGCGCATTATGATTCACTTCAAGCCATAAAAAACTTGTGTGTCACATCCTGCGAGTGAGGACAGAGCCGCTCTGGATGTATTCCCCTGAAATGATCGGGGACAATGGCTTCGTGTTGTGTTTGATTCCCAGTGCCAGACATTTTAGAGCAATATTGGGTTAAATCAGCCAAAAAAATACTTACAGGGCCCATAGGACACCACGGCAGGTCGGTATAGAAATGCCTGTCTGTTCCATGTAATGAATGACAATAAAAAGGCATATGCACCTGCTGTCCTGAATATGAGCTATACCACAGAAAGTGGATCATAAATATCCCCCATTTGTCATCCAAGTTTGAAAATATGAAAGCAGCTCAGTGATATTAATCCACAAAGTGAGCGTGGAGAACATGAATCTGTTCTGCTTCCTGTCCAGCAGGTGAGGCAGCTGGGGAAGGGCTAAATCACTGTGATCATCATGTGCTTTTAATGCCCCTCAGAATATTTTTTACTGTTTCCCTTTTCAAAACGTCCCGAAAGCAAAGCAAATAACTGTCACAGACAATTTGCTTTTATTGAGGTACATATTTATTTTTGGGATTAACTTGTTACTTAGCAACTCCACATGGAGCCAAAAGCTGCACTGAGAGTTGACTTTGGATTGCAATTTTGCAATTAGGACCAAGTTTGGTAATAAAAGTCACCCGTTAATGCCACCATTTAGTGGGCTTGTACACGCCATGACGGCTAACATATGGCAAACTTGTTCAAAATATTAAGATCTGCTTTTCCTTTGACACCACTATGTTCCTACTCATTGCCGTTTCGCTCCGTGCCAAACACCATGGCTAACCCATATGAAGATTAATGATTCCAGATTTTCCTCAACTCAAAGGGCAAGTGATGGCTCATTATAGAGTTATTAAAAACAGCACATTACTGCAACATTTTTTTTATCCTGGGTAATCCTATTTGCCCCACCAAAGTCATAACTTCCATTTGGAAGTAACAAATGTATCACATGTGCCACAACTGAAAAGTATCAGTATGCTACAGTTTATGAATGAAAGCTTACAAAATGAAGAAATCTTCAACAGTCTAATGTCTTATTAGGTACAATGGATGCAGTCATGTGCCAAAATAACCTGTTTTTAAAGCTCAGATCGGTATCACTGATCCATACAGTGTTGAGCCCACTGGATCATTTCCTGTTGGTGGTTTCACTTGTCGTGTCTTTGAAGCAGGCTTTAATAATAGGACCCAACAGAACTAATGAAAATGTTTCAGTCAGATTAAAAGGGAGCTTCAGTCTCAGGCACCTAACCACATTCAGCATTAACATTCAAACAAAAACGCAGACACTGAGGCATGTGTGCACAGATACACACAGTTTACAGAAGTGGTTTACACAAGGAGGCCATTCTCTCTGATGTGTGTACGACTGTTAGCCCTCTTAACAACACCAAGAATACCATCAGTGGTCTGTTTTCCAAGGCAGTTTGAAAAAAAATATAGAGGATTTATGTCGAATGGGAAAGGTGAAGGAAAACAAAGAGACCCTTTCCAACAAACAAAAAAAAACACTGTGATGTGATTCTTTTATACCCCTCGTTTTCATTGCAGACCCTGCAATGTGCACTGTAGTGGTGGTCTTGAGCTTAATGAATCCACTTCAGCGCAGTTCCTCTCCGTAAGCCTTAAGGTTTAATCCCCCAGTCTGGAGCAGTGACTGATAGTCTGGCCCAGGGGATGACATCTGTGAATCGTTCATTAACTTGTAACCAGCAGCAGATGTCTTCAAAAACAACTTACTACCTCCTCGCCCTATTCAATTCAATGTAAACGTTCATTTCTTTGCTTTCTTTCATTCACAAGAACACTTTCAAGACTTTTTTTTAAAGTACAATAATGTCAGGCATATGTAACACCCACAACTTTACCAACTTTTAATGGACAAAAAAAGTGCCTTATTCACTTGTGCAGTAGCAATTAACTTCATTCACACATCAGCCATTTTCCTCAGACACAAACTCAAGTTGTGAAGCGAAAATGCTGGAAAAATTCATTCAGCCATTTTCTTTCAATCCCAAAAATCCCCTTAGCCTTCTTCTCTGCGACAAAATAGTTTGTTTTCCTGTTTACTAACCAATGGATCCCTGTGGCTAAGAGACTCTCTCAGTGTTGACACATTTGTCTCTGTGTGCATCATGTGGACACTTGCCTGGTGACCCCTCAAAATATCTAACTAGCCCCAACTAACTTTCTGCCAGTTTACTTCTGGTTTGTCCATCAAGTGAGTCTTTCTTTGGTTCTAAACATGCTAGACCTGATACCAACCTCCATATTGCACTCACTTAACCCCAGTTCAGCTCACAAAGCCAAACCCCCGCAGGTCCAGTCCACTGATCCTACAGCTCTAGCCTAGGATTGAACTGAACCACTTTATTACCTGCCAGTTTGTTCCTGTTGACTCTTTTGGTCAAGATTATTAAAATGATCCCTGTTTTCATTTGTACTGCATTTGGGTAGGAACTACACCCTTGACATATTTACTGATAAAGGGATAATAAAGAGGACTCGGTGGCTTGCTACAACTCCTGAAAAAACACTGCGATACAATTAACCTGCTTGCTACTTAACTTTTATTTTACAAACAAAAACATACTGAACTGTATGCTGCAAGCATCACTTCTTTTACTTTTAGCTAAAACTACAGCCTCTGTACGTGGGACACAACCTAACCACTAGACCATGTGACCCATTTTTTTTTTTTAAAGCCAAAGCCTTAAAGTTTATGCTACCACAGGTTTAATACAGTACAACATATGGGATTTATCATGACATGTAAAAGAAAGTTACATTTTAAGAATAAAATTGTCTTTAACTGTGATCCTTTATTCTCATGTATTGATGTATCCAGTTATATTTTTTTGACATGTTTCATACCTTTTCCATATTTCAGTATTCATGGTTTTATTATGAAGATGTCTGTCACTTGAAGTTTCAAGGTGTGAAAATGTATAGCCTTCTGTGTGAAATATGCCGTGCCACTCTGAACACCTGTGAAAGATGTTCAGGCACTTTAAAACTGCCTTAAGATGGACATGGAGCATAATAAAGAGTGGGATATTTCAACACTGACAGACAGCTTCCCTATGGAACTGTCATGTGTGATTTCAGGGGGGTGACCCAGAGCAGGAAGACTGTGGTCTGTGTTTTCTAGGGTGATATAAATGTGACAGAACGTGATTCATTTGCTTCTGTGCATCCATAAGCTTTCTAGCAGATTGTGCACTTTTTTCTTTTCTGGGAAAATGCTTATGCTGTATGTATTCCAGACTACATTATCCATGACTTGCATTACAGTACAATGTTTTCTCTACGCCCCTTCTCCAGTCAGATAAAGCCTATAGAAGACCAAACAATACACTTTTATTTGTTTAGTTGTTATTCTGAGGACACTAAAAGTACACAACTTTAAGAATAGCATCATTAATCCTTCATACATCGCGGATGCTTGATGAAAGTGCCACAGCAAATTGCATGTAAGTTGAGAACTACAGTATTATATTTACTGAATTGGCCACTGATGGCATGCACCGCATTGATGATATTCATAAGGATATGTCATACTGAATTACAAACCCTTAACACTGCTGCCATGCTGGTAAAGCTCAATCGTCCATATCCGATCCTTTGGCTGGAGATTGCTCTTGTGCCATGCAGTGTATCATGATGGATTTCACAAATGGTGTAGAAATCACATAATTGCACACCGGAGTGAAACAAGGAAATGACAGTTTCGGTGTTTAGCCGCATGAAGCCATAAGCAATAATGAGGGGCTTTATCATACAGTCACATGAAATGTATTTTAATAAAACACAATGTACACATATGCAGTCCTATGACCATACATTTGCTGGATCCTAATCATTTAACCTAGAATACGTCAAAGCATAGTTTTGTCTTTTTTTTTTCTTATTCAAAACATTGAAATCAGTAGATGAGCTCAAATGAATGTAACACAACACGGCGTGACATCAGACAGAAATCTTTTCCATGTGTTAAAGATATGCACTGTTATAAGGAACTCAAATAATAATTCAGCATATAAGAATAACAGTATGAGGCAAAAAAGAAATCTCACTGAACAAAAAAAAAGTACAAAAAAAAGAATTAATAAATAAATCAAATATATACCATATAAATGAAATAGCTATGTTGCGGCTATGTTTTTTATTTGTTTTAATCATTTTACTCTGTAGCTTGGTATTACAACCTTTTTAACTCTAAAACATTTAGAACGGTGAACGAGTCAATACTGAAAATACAGTAATAAGCTTTTCTTAATTAGATAAACTATGTACACGAGTCTTTTGCCATGCTAGTCGAACAACTAAATTTCTTCTTCTTTTTTATACACACTATACAGTTAGAGCATAAAGCGGTCTCAACGTAAACAGTTTGTGCTGAGAATAAAATACTTTGCAACTATGCATGGTAACTTTTCTTAATATTACTCTCAAAAATGTACAGAACATAAAGGCCACACATGGAAAAACTTGGTTTCATTTAGAGGGAAAGGTGAGGGTCGTTTTAAATATATAGGAACAAAAAAAAAACAGTCTCAGTTCAAGATGCCATTTTCTTGTCCATCAGCATCATTTCATTTAACCAATCTCTTTTGTCACTTCATCCTCCTCCGTTATTTTCATCCTCCCATGCCCCCTCTTTTCTGCAAGCTGTTCCGCCTGCCAACTACCTCCACACCTCTCCAATCTACCTCCTGACATCTGGCCCTCCCGCCCCCACAGTCTCTGCTTGCCTCTCCATCTTCCATCACCCTGCTCGTTTGATGACATTTTTAATGATGGGAAATGAGTTCAGTAATGTCAACAGTAAAGGTCCACAAGGCTAGGCAAGGGGTGGGGCAGAGAGACCAGAGTCACCTGGCTGGTCACTGCAGCGGGGGGGAGAAGCAGCGGGTGGCAGAGGCATGAAGAATGTGTTTAGTGTGGTGAGACTGATATCAAATGATAGACATATACTTTTGAGACGGACTTGTGAGTGATGGTTCTGTCCTGGTGTGACAGAGAGAGGCGAGGGTGGGCTTAGGTGGGGGCTCGTGATGGTCTTCAGACAGATTATGGGTGCAGCAGTGGCTAGCAGCTTTGCGTTTGTTTCTTTGTTCAATGGGAAGTCCGTGGGTTCAGTTTTCACTGGCTGGTGCGTGCAGAGGCCAAGTGATCGCTGTGCTGGTTCTGGGCTCGAAACCGCAGCCTCTGCTTGTTCTTCTTCTTTGGTTCTTTGGGTCGTTGCTTCCCTGAGCCACCTGGGAGTGAAGATAGAGAAAAAATAATGGTTATTCCCTTTACAACCCTTCTGTATTTCTAACAACCTCAGGTCAAACGCTCCATACTCAATATCATTTGGTCTTTTTCTTGAGCGAATGTTACATTATGATCATGGGTGGTTTACCATCAGAAGAAAGATTGGGGTGTCGTACCCTGAGGGTCCTGGGATCTGAAGAACAGAGTTATCTGGTTGGGAATTACTTCGTGGTAATTGTATTTTTGTTAATTATTTGGGAAAAAAATAAAAAGTAAAATTTTAATGCCATATAGTGAATTCCCAGTTCCATGGAAAACCCTCTTCGTCTTAATGTTGTGTGGCTTGTATTAAATGCCAATTTGTGTTCATCTGTTTAGCTTAAAAGTGTGTTATTTATTCTATTGAAAGAGTATTGGTTGGCTTCTTTGGCTCTGATTTGGGGGACATATTGGTGTGGGGGCTCTACGGGTGGGGGGGGTCATATCATTCTTTAGCCCATTGGCCCCATCGTGGTTTGATCCTGCAGGAAACACAGCCTGCTTGTTTTCTAATAAATTGCCTGCTTTTGGACTAAAATATGATGAAGTGTTGGCTAAGTTCTTGTTGGGAGACGGACTAGAAGATGCTCTGCAGAGTACATTTTCTTTTAGTGCATCATTCACGCTACTCACTGCCCTCCCCTGAATATTCATCAGTTAGACCAAAAAGAATGGGACATCTTACAAATGTTAACTAATCATCAGACAACCGCTGATGGGATTATGCAGCACATTGATGGGTGCAACAAGATTGATGAGCTCCACTTCTTTCTTTTTTTTTACTGTAAAACAGCGGTTTGTAAAAGCACATGCATGCAACCGACTACTGTGGAATGCATTACATGAAGTCAACCTGGTTATTTTGGAGCTGGAGTACTCAGAATTTGGGACTTGACAGTGGAGGCGATCACACTGTCCAAATTGTAAGGAAAAAGGAAGAAGACTAATGAAAAAAGGTTTAAAATGCAAGCTTTTTAAGAGAGTGCTGACAGTATTTAAAAGTATTCAAACTAAGCTTTAAAGGATGTCTTTTAAATATAGCAACGTCTGCAAATGAGAAAGGCTGCACAGCATACAGAGGTAAAGCTCATAAGAGGGAACATCAGATATGTGGTCTTCATTTGCTCCATCCCTTCAGGACTAAACCTCGGTCTTTAACAAATATCTACTCAGCCCAACACTTCTCACTGTCACTGCAATAGATACAGCAGATAAGTAAGAGAGGTTGCATAACTCTCTTTCCAACTTGAAAAGGTCTCCCAGCCCAAGGTTAATCCATCCCAGGCACAGATGGGCAAAGCATGCTGGGAACTTACTTCCCGCACTCATGGGCGCTTGTACGGTGGAGGCTCTGCACCCGCGGCTCTCTATGACAGAGAAAAGCTCTGGCTACCGAACCACAAGGCAACAATCTGGCTGCCAAGGCCGCAAATAAGATAACGAGGTGTGTGTGCGAGATGTATGTGCACGAAGGGGAGTGAGTGTGGGGGAATTTAAGGGAAAATCTAATGGAGGAAAAGTGGAGTAAGGCTTGGATGATGGGACTATATCTGGATTCAGATCTAGAACACAAACTCCACTCGGCGAACAAAGGTTCGCCGAGTGGAGAAGCACATTCTCAAAAAAAATAAATCAAGTACTATTACTTTGACTGATTCTGGGTCTTATTACTGCACTTGTTCCAAATGTTACTCTCAGGGAAAATAGGTAACGGTGTGTAAAATTTGGCATTATCTCTAATTACCTTCTCTGGTGGCATTGCGGTGGCCCTTTAAGCACCCCTACAAAAGACCTATTTCCCACTCGCTGAGCCACACTATGAGGTAGATTTGAAAATATTCACTCATCTAAGCCGACATGCATGAGAAAGCAAGGTATTGCTCTGCTAATATGGTCTGCCAATGAATAATGCAGATGCATGCAAACATCAAACCATCTCAGAGCTATTTCCTGCAATTAATCTAATCTTGTTATTTTGAATCACATTTCCAATCTGAGCCATGGCTATAAAGTTTCTCGCACACAGCTCCTAGTTAAAATCACCCTTTGAAAGAAACTTTCACATCTCTTCCATCAAAATGTAATGCGCTTCAACAGTAAAACATTACCAGGGCACTTTGAACACTTGCTTAACTGAAGCCACTTTAGATTTTTTTGCATGATTTCCTTAGATAATGTTTGTTAAAAGTAAATTTGGAGCTGAACGGCATTTGGCCTATAGATTCATTTTCCTAATTGCTCTTAAAAAGAAGCAATTTTCATTCTAAACAGTGTTGCTAGGTGCTTGATAAACAGGACGTTCAGAGCAATCAACTTGAAATGTATTACATTTGACAGCAATAAAGAACATGGTCTAGCTTTATGGTCCCTCTGTCACTGGCAAAATGCTTCATGGCCAATGTATTTGAAGCAAAGCTTCTTTTAGTGTGAAAAGGCATTTACAGCAATCACATGTAACATAAAAATGTGACCGGAGCTAAAAGAGTACTTTACCCAGCCTGTTCAAGACTGGGCATGGGATCTGTAGTCCAGAGTTTTACACTTGCTCAGCACACAACACTGCATTAAGAAACACATTCAGTAGTTGAACATGCAGTGAGCTATGGAGAAGTTGAAAAGGACAACTTGGTTCACTTCAGCCCTGTTCCTTATTTCCCTTTTTTAAATTTGATGTTCCTTTCTTCAACTCGATGTGAGGACAATTGGACTTCTCTGTACAACAAAGGCAAAAATGTATTCACTACTTTGGTAAAAAAAAGAGTTAGGAATAATATCTGAGTGACATATCATTTTGTGAAACCTATAAGAAAACTCAGAATTAAAGTAATCTCTGTAATGAAAAAATAATGAAATAATTGCATGCTGAGCTTTGCCGTAAAGGTGGCAGCTAAGTGTGAGACGTCCTACTTTAGGCTAACCTTTATGAAACCCCCAATACTGACTTTGTTTATTGGCTTTTCCCTTCTTTGTTCCCGTAAACGATTCAGATCCATATCAATGATCAATGAACACGTTTCTTGTTACTCCGAAGAACTAAATAAGGAGGTGTGTCGATCTTGTCATGACAAAGAAATCCCCCGTGTAAAAGGTAACTAACCTAACATGAGCACTGCTGAGCTTTTCACCTATTTGGAATACATATAATGTGCGGTAGATCAGCCACAAATTGAATTTCATTAAAATAAGCTCTAAAGTTGGGTCAGTCATAGCTTACATTGGAAAAAGAAAGCAAGAACATGGTAATGTATATGAATGTTTCACACATGACATAAAGGAGAAAGGCAGACTGCATGAGTATCATTTTAGGTATTATGTAGGTTGAGTGATTTTAAGGATAAGATAATTTAAAAAGGCATTAAAAGAAAGAAATACGCTATTTTTTTCAAAATCTGTTGTGCATTTTCAACCAGTTTGATCACTGAAAGCCCTTTATTTGCTGTGTTCTTTTCCTTTTTTAGGCTGTCTCTGTTTTTTTTCTTGTTCTTTACATTCCCCTGGTTGTAAGAAGTTGTTATACTGCACATATAGAAACTATTTTTTGCTTAAAAAGGGAGAAATAATGGGACTCTTTCTGTCAGGGACTAAATCAGCTCCATTATTCTTTCCAGGCATCAGTTTTAAACTGCACTGTTATAAATCACCAGACACTGGTCAACAACAAACCAATCACACTCCATAAACTTATCACCACAACAACTCCAGAAAATATTTCATAACCTGATCTCAATGCTGACAGCTAGAGGGCAACCAATCCCCACATTGGCCTCTCCCTCCAGTATCTGATACAGACAGAGATGTGTTCTATCATATCTAACTGAGATCTTTCATGTAGCCTTTCCTCAGGGCACAAGGCAATGAGCTTTCATCGTCTCGTATTTTTCAACCGATGTAATCACTTAAGCTGATTACCAGAGTTCACAGAGGAAACAGTTTAATTTGCCTGGAAAGAAATGATTAAGTCATCTCAATTGATTTCAAAACCAAAAGCAGATTCATAAATAGTAGAGCATGTATAATGATTTTGTCCTGGAAGGCAGAGCAGGTCCCAAATCCCTCTCTGTCTTTGTTTTGTGTCAGAACTACATTATGGATCAAATCAGAAGAGTATGGCTTTTATCAGAAAATTATGAACTTCATGCTTTTTTTATAGATGTCTCTCTGTTCTGGCTGCATCACCACAGCAAACCACAGATTCTCCAATGTTTAGATTTCTTTCATAGATACAATCTTCTTTTTGCTCAGCTTGATGTTTTTCTCTAGGGTTCTAAATGAAAAGCTAATCAAACAAACAAACAAACGGAGAACTCAAGGGCAAATCAAAATGTTTTGTATTTCCAAGTCAGAAGCAGAGCCTGCGGTCAGATGCTTGTTTACCGCTGTCAACAATGACCTTTGTGGAATTCTTTCACCAATCTGTGTTACTGTGCGCGCACACGTTCATGAATGATGTACTTGCCCTTTATGCCTGTGCTTCGGTGATTGCGAGCTTCTATATCACCTATGTGGGCTTGAGAAATACTTAGTGTCATTTCCAACCTTCTCAGCTGCCAAACCAGAGGGTAAAGAAATATTAAACTCCTCTGCACACACTGTGGTGGACGTTCCTCAATAACGTCTCCAAGCCAGCCGAGATCCACAGCTTTTTCTTTCTTTTCACCATCTTCCCCCCCCTCCCTTCCTGTGTCCCGTTGATGGTATTTGAGGCTCTCAGCAATAACCGAGATGACTGCACGGTGGAGATCCAACTAAGAGTTAAGCGCTATTAGATGTATCATATTATTAGGCCTGCACTCCAGGATAATATCTCCTTGTGGAATGCCAATATGACTACTTGTCCAACTGATGCACTGAAAGATAATAAGTCAAATCCATATCCAGGGGGAAGGGTGCCAAAGCCAAGGCTCCCTTCATCTGCATGTCAAAGCTAATATCTGTGTTTTGTTGAAGAGACTTAACTCAAGAA